CAGATTCATAGACAGAAAGTAGAATGGTGTTGCCAGGGCCTGGGGGAGGGGAAACAGGAAGCTGTTGTTTAAGACGCAAGGAGTTTCAGTTTCAGGGGGCCAGACAAGGTGAGTGAATCAATGCATCCGACCTGCATATTTGATGTGTGTTTTACAACAACTGAAAATAAAGAATGTCATTTATGCTGTAAACTATGAAACAATGTAGACCCTATCTTAGAAAAATATAACCTATTGGCTGGTGCCGTGGCTCAATAGGCTAATCCTCTGCCTGTGGTGCCGGCACTCTGTGTTCTAGTCCTGGTCGGGGCACTGGATTCTGTCCTGGTTGCCCCTCTTCCAGGCCAGCTCTCTGCTATGGCCTGGGAGTGCAGTGGAGGATGGCCCAAGTGCTTGGGCCCTGCACCCCATGGGAGACCAGGAGAAGCACCTGGCTCCTGGCTTCGGATCAGTGCGATGCGCTAGCCACGGCAGCCATTAGAGGGTGAACCAACAGCAAAAGGAAGAACTTTCTCTCTGTCTCTCTCACTGTCCACTCTGTCAAAAAAAAAAAAAAAAAAAATATATATATATATGTACATATATATATATATATAACCTATCAAACTGCAGAAATAAAAAGCCTAAATGGTTCTCTAAATGGAATCAGTAATTTAAAATCTTCCTACAGCAGCCAGTGCTGTGGCACAGTGGGTTAAAGCCCTGGCCTGAAGCGCCGGCATCCCATATGGGCGCCAGTTCCAGTCCCGGCTGCTCCTCTTCCAATCCAGCTCTCTGCTATGACCTGGGATAGCAGTAGAAATCCTTGAGCCCCTGCACCCACGTGGGAGACCCGGAAGAAGCTCCCGGCTCCAGGCTTCGGATCGGCAGAGCTCCAGCTGTTGCAGCCATCTGGGGAGTGAACCAGCGGATGGAAGACCTCTCTCTCTGTCTCTACCTCCCTCTCTCTGTATATCTTTCAAATAAATAAAATAAATCTTTTAAAAAAATCTTCCCAACAGAAAATATCAGGTCGTGATGATTTTGCTAAACTTTACATAAGAATAATTGTCACTTAATAAAATCTCTGAGAATGCAGTAACACCCTCTACCTCATCCTACATCCCAGGGGGCTGATGAGATCTTAACAACCACATGAGATAAGTATGGTCTCATTCATGAATAGAAATGACACCATTGTAAGAAAAAATGCCAGTGCCTCAGATACCCCAATGGTGTGTAAAATATTAAGATGCCACTTCTGAGTCAGAGTCATCTCAGGCATGCAAGGCTGGTTACCCACAGAAGAGAAGCCTGCAGACACCCGTTACTGCCGGCCCCTCTGTACTGCGCCGACTTAATCTCTGTAGTGCACTGCTTTGTGCAAGCTCAAACTCACCTTCTGCTCCTAGCTTCCCACCTCAAGCTTATTCCATGTTTTTTCTTGGCCTTTCTGACTCTGTGTCTTCTTCTATGCTGTGGGAACCATTTGTGTGTCTGCTAGTGCTTCCCCAAAGTGCAGGAGAGTTAAGGTCCCAAAGATGCCAGCCTCACCCAATGCAGGGATAGGAGCTGTGGATCCGTGCTCCAGTCTCCTTCTCAGTGGGCACTTCTGGGAGGCATCCTGCAGGGCTGTCCAAGGTCCCACAGAACTGAGTTCCCTTTGCCTACAGTTTTGTCTCTGAATGTATTTGGTTTATTTATTTGAAAGTTGGAGAGAGAGTGAGAGTGAGAGAGTGTGAGTGTGAGTGAGAGTGAGAGATAGACAGACAGACAGACCTTCCATCTGCTGGCTCACTCCCCAATTGCTCACAACTGTCAGGACTGGACCAGGCTGAAGCCTGAGAGTCTAAACTAAAAGTGGACACGAACAGGTTTAAGAAAAAAAATCCAATCATCTCAACAGATCAAGAAAAAAAGTTGCTGACATTCAACATCCTTTCATGATAAAAACTCTTAGCAAACTAGTAGGAAACTTCCTTAACCTGATAGAAAACTTACATACTATTTTTAATGAGTAAAACTTAAAAGAAGATTTCCTTTAAAATTGGCATTAAACAAGGATGTCTGTAATTTCTAGCTCAGTTTAACACTGTACTAAAGATTCTGGACAGAGCAATAAAACAGAGAGACAGACAGACACACACACACATGCACAAAGTGGGTGGAGAAATTTAAAAAGTCTACAGACTGGATTAGAGCAAAACCATCATTATTTGCATATGGTATATCTAGCTAGAAAATTCAAAAGAATCATTAAATAAGTGATTCAAAATTATAAGATTTTAGATGCACAGCTAGCTGTAAGATCAACATCCAAAAATAAGTGGCATTTGTGTAATCAGTTATATGCAAAAATATAATTTAAAAAATAGACCATTTTGGGGCTGGCACTGTGGCGTAGTTGCTAAAGCTGTCACCTGCAGTGCTGGCATCCCATATGAGCACCAGTTCTAGTCCCAGCTGCTCTACTTCAGATCCAGTGCTCTGCTATGGCCTGGGAAAGCAGTAGAAGATGGACCAAGTCTTTGGGCCCCTGCACCCATGTGGGAGGCCCAGAAGAAGCTCCTGGCTCCTGGCTTTGGATTGGTTCAGCTTCGGCCATTGCAGCCAATTGGGGAGTGAACCAGTGGATGGAAGACCTCTCTCTCTCTCTCTCTCTCCTTCTCTCTCTGTGTAACTGTGACTTTCAAGTAAAATAAATAAATCTTCAAAAAAAATTTCCCCAAAGAAGCCTTTTAAAAAAATAGACCAGCTTAATAGCCCCCCAAGTGTAGGAATAAATATAGCAAAATTTAGACCTGTGATTATCTATAGTTAGAAAATTATAAAACTTTATTGAAAAATATTCAAGGCAACTTAAATAAATGGAGATAAACTACATTCACAAGTAGAAGAGTCTATGGTGTGAAGATAAAAATTCTCGCCCAACTGAAGTACAGATTCAGTGCAATCCAACTAACTCCGAGTATAGAAATCGAACTCTAATGTTCACATGGAAGGATAAAAGGACCAAGAAACCCCTGAAGAAGAATAAAATGAGATTTTTCTCTGCTAACATTCAGACTTACAGTAAAATATGGTATCAGAGTAGGTCTAGGGAAATTAACTCATGGAACAGAATAAGGATCCCAGAAATAGACCTGAGGTTGCACAACACTCTGACATGTGGCAAGCGTGTCACTGTAGAGCACTCACATAGAAGAGTAGATTAAATGATTCTGGACCAATTGATCAACTAAATGAAGAAAAAAAGCACCCCTATCTCATGCCAAATGTACAAGTCAGTTGCATTTAGATTAAGTACTTACATGTGAAAGACAACTTTAAAAACTTTAAATTTTTTTACACTTATTTAATTTTGTTGATTTGAAAGGCAGAGAAACAGACACACACAGATCTTCATTTCTGGTTCACAGCCTGAATGCCTGCTCTTGCAGAGCTGAATGCTCTTGTGCCTGATAACCCACAATTCCACTCTTAGATGGTCTTGTCTGCCCTCAGAAAACATTTGCACTAAAAACCAGGACACCTGCCTTGTGTTTACTTCTGCAAGTCACTTAATCTCTTTGGACCTTAATTTCCTCATCCATAAAATGAGATTTTTTTTTTAAAGACTGATTTTTTTTTAAGATTTTATTTATTCATTTGAGAGGTAGAGTTACAGTGAGAGGGAGAGAGAGAAAGGTCTTCCTTCCATTGGTTCACCCCCAAATGGCCGCTATGGCCAGAGCTACGCTGATCTGAAGCCAGGAGCCAGGTGCTTCCTCCTGATCTCCCACATGGGTGCAGGGGCCCAAGGACTTGGGCCATCCTCCACTGCTTTCTCAGGCCACAGCAGAGAGCTGGACTGGAAGAGGAGCAGCCGGGACTAGAACCGGTGCCCATATGGAATACCGGGGCCGCAGGTGTAGGAGTAACCCACTGTGCCATGGCGTTGGCCCCTAAAGACTGATCTTTTTAAATAAATAATTTATTTATTGGAGGGGGAGGAGGAGGGGAGGGGGAGGGTCGGGGAGGGAGAGGGAGAACATGAAGATAGGCAGAGGGAGACAGTGAGCTTCCATCTGCTGGTTCATTTCCCAAATGACCACAATGGCCAGTGCTGGGTCAGGGCCAAAGGTGGAAGCCAGGGAACTCAACCCAGGTCTCCCACATGTGTGTCAGGAACCCAATCACTTGAGCCATCACAAATGCCTCCCAGGATCTGCATTAGCAGGAAACTAGAGCTGGGCATCAGACCCACGCACTCCGACATGGGACACTGATATCTTTATTATTATTTTTTGGGGGACACTGATATCTTAACTGGCATCTTAACTGCTGTGCCAAACACCTGTCCCTAAAATGGGATTAAAAACACCTTCCTCATAGGGTTGTTGTGTGCATGCACAAATTAAATGAATGTAGCACACAGTAAATGCTGTATAACTGTTTTATAAAATAAAAATAAGTAGACATGTGCATGGACGAAGTCCTACTAAAAATCAAGAGCAATACCCGCCAAATTCCACAGGGCGCTTTCCGACCCCTGGGTGAGGCAAGTCTCACGCAGGAGGAAAGCAGAGGTGGGGTCTGGTGGCCATCCATCCTGTGATGACTGATGCCTCCGGGTGCTTGCTCTGTTTCTGTGCAGCACTATGTGCACATGTGTTACCATGCTGAATTTCACTATAAAAATATGCAGAGAAGGGCAAGTCCTACATGTCTGGAAAGAGGAAGTCTCACGTAGGAGAGCCCCCTCCAACTCTGACGGACAGGATGTCACTGAAGGAATCTCATCAGAAACCCCCAGCGTCTGCCCTGGGTGGTGAAGGGGACTGCCCCTCCCTCTCCTAGCATCTGCTCAGAACCCCCACTCCCACCCCCCAGAGCCCGGGGCAGGGATGAGTGGTGGGGATGGGGAGGTGGCAAACAGGAAACCACCACAAGGGCGGGCCCTGGAGCAGGGCAGAGCAAGAGCTGGCAGAGGAGAACGTGGAGCCCGAGCGGCTCCTGGGATCCAGAGCTCCCGCACTTACCAGGGGCCGCAGCTCAGGCGGTGACACTGCCCCAGACTCTTTCCATGCAGCCAAGTTTAGAGGGAGGGCAAGCGAGAAACTGAAACCCAGAAGCTAGGAAGGTGGTGGTGAGTGCAAGTGTCACAGCTGCTGTGGACACCCCCACAGGCATTACGTGTCTCCAGTCACGTGCTTCCTGAACCCAGCTTCCCACCCCAACTGACCTCGTGTTGTCTCTACCCGCCCTCTTTACTGTTGTGAATTGTACACAACACATTTATAACTGTAACCACTTTTTTTTTTTTAAGATGTATTTACTTATTTGAAAGGCAAGTTACAGAGAAAGAGATCTTCCATCCACTGATTCACACCCTAAATGGCTAAAATGGCCAAGACTGGGCCAGGCTGTGGCAAGCAGCCTGGAACACCATCTGAGTCTTCCCCATGGGTGCAGGGGCCCAAGCACTTGGCCATCTTCTGCTGCTTTCCCAGGTGTATTAACAGGGAGCTGGATCAGAAGTGGAGCAGCCAAGACTCAAACTGGCACTCATATGGGATGCTGGAGCTGCAGGTGGCAGCTTAACCCACTGTGCCACAATGCCCCTCACCACTTTTACGTGTGCATTTTTATGGCATCATACCCATCACTGTGCCTAGCAATAGAATATTTTAAAAATTAGCAGAGTGACTTTGTACAAGTGAGCAGAGAGTATGAACCAAGCATGCTTTCTGCGAGTGAACCAAGCAGAGCTGTTGGCTGGCCCCGGCCACCGAATCCAGGTTCACCAAAGACACAAATGAGAACACAGCAGGGACCATGGAAGGCTCAGGGCCACGAGGGCTGAGGGCCTGCAGCTCTGGAGCAGCTTCTCCTGGCGCCTGTATGCCTCTTTCTTCACAGCAGTTCTTTTGGGAAATCTCCCCATGGACGGAGTTAAGAATGTGCTTGCCCTGAAACGTGCAGAGTCAGTATCTTGATTTTGACCCCAAAACACGTGAGTTCTGCCTTTTCCTACCTGCAGTGAGTCACAAAGACCCCTTTTGGAGTGGAGCCTCCTCTGTGCCAGGGCTGGAAACAATGGTGAGCGCCAGATACTAGGCATCAGTGCCACAATGGACCTGAGTGAGGGAACTTAACTAACACAGCCCCTTTCTCCCACGAACTCTGCCCCCCCCCAATACAAGGGGGCTTCCAAACATCTGTGGAACAAAAAGATAATGCAATTCTCCATGAACTTCCTGAAGACCCCTCATCTCTCCTAGCGACTCCCTTAGAACTTCCTGCCCTAGCCTGGAAATCCCCCAGTCCAGTCATTCTCCTTCTTTCTTTCTTTCTTCTTCGTCTTTTTTTTTTTTTTTTTTGTAAATGCATGAACCAGGAATATACTTGCTTATTATCATTTCCCAAGTACTGTTGTACATAGTTATATGTGCTATAATTTTATATGATTGGCAGTAAGTAGGTTTGTTGTTGTCGTTGTTTTTGAAAGGCAGAGTCAGACAGAGGGGACAGGGACAGAGGTGGGGGGAGGGAGGGAGGGAGAGAGAACGTCCATCTACTGGTTCACTCCCCAGATGGCTGTGATGGCTCTTTTCTGGAGGAAAGCTCTTTTTCCTTTAGACAGATTTTTTATGAGGGGGGCACTTCCAAACTCCTACTCAACCTCACATTCTGACCAAATGTCTGGTCCACACAGGGTGGTGTCATGGAACCCCACCTTCTGGTATTGTGTGTGTGTGGTTTTTAAACAAGTTTGGGAAAGAGAGACCTTCCTGGCTGGTTGCAGCATCTGTAGCAGAGGCACTGCCCCAGGCCAAGTCTGTCCTTCACAGCAGCCATGGGTCTGTACGATGGAGGTCGGGTGCACAGAGGTGTGGGTGCTCCTGACACCTGTTTAGACCAGTCTCTGCCAAGTGCAAAGGGAGGGTAAGAGTTAACCCAAAGAGGTACCTCCAGTCACTCAGGGAATGTTTCAGAATAAACTGCCTTGGACTTCCCTGGCTCTGGTGGCTTTACTGGGTGCTGGCCTTCATGACAAGGGGGTGGTGAACCCCCATCAGTGTTGGGAAAGCGCACACATGCTTTCACCCAAGCTCCAGTAACTTGGCACTCTGACCATGGCTTTTCTCATTCTGAGTTGTTGCAAGCTGCAGCGTATTGGGTAAAACGTGCACATAAGCACTTGTAGACAATTCACTGTAGATAGCTGGGGCTGACAACTGCTTCTGCATGATTTGGACTTTGTTTTGTCCGAGGCAGCCTCTCGCTGCATTTGGACACTCTGTGGGTTGGGGTATAAAGAAGGAAATGCATGGGCTGTTTGTGGCAAGAGATTGCAGGTTCAGACCCCTCGGGCACCACTGGGGCCAAGGGCTGTCCTCCCTGGCATCAGCCCTGTAATCTCTAAATGAAGCTGGGTCCCTAATACTTGGAGCTGGGGCGGGGAGAGGGCAGTGAGAAGTCCCCGTGGCCGAGTGTCCTTGGGGACACAAGCTCCATGGCTCTCCCTGAGCAGTCCCCCGTCCCTAAGGTCTAGCCACCGACACCAGTATTATTTCTAGCTCTTCTAAAGTCCAGGCACCAAGTTAAATGGGAATTATGAGACAATTGTTTCCAGTCTGTCTCAAATATTGCATATTTACCACAAAGTGAAAAGTGTTTTCATCTTTGTGTTTTTCTCTGTTTTTCCAAATGGTCTTTCACGAGTATGAATTACTTTAATAATAAAGAAAAATGGGGCAGGAATTGTGCTGTGACAGATTGAGCTGCTGCCAGCATCCCAAATGATCACCAGTTCAAGTCCTGGTTGTTTCACTTCCGATCCAGCTCCCTGCTAATGCACCTGGGAAGGCAGCAGGTGGTGACCCAAGTACTTGGGTCCCTGTACCTAGATGGAGCTCCAGGCTCCCAGCTTCAGCCTGGCCCAGCCCTGGCTATCGTGGACATCTAGAGAGTGAAGTAGCAGATGGAAGATCTCTCTCTCTGTAACTCTGCTCTTTAAATAAAATTCTCCCAGCTGATGGGGCCTTTGAGTCACATGCACCCTAGGCACCTTTCTGTTGTTGATCCTGTCTATCCTCACTGTTTCCCCAGGCCCTTCTCCCTGCGGCCTGAGCTGAGCCACCACCAGCCCCCGGCCCTTCCTGACTTCCCAAGCCTTTCCCATCTCAGGAAAATTTCCTTGAGGTTTTCCTCTCCCTCTCTCAGCCTCAGGTCTCATTTACCCCTATTTTTTTAAGGTTCACTTATTTATTTTTACTTATTTGAAAGGCAGTGACAGAGAGAGGCAAAGAGATCAATCTTCTATTTGCTGGTTCACATTCCAAATGCCAGGCAGCTGGGGTCCCACGTCTGAGCTTTAACACTGGAGAGACCCTTCTGCCTACCCCAAAGACCCCTGGAAGGGCTTCTGGGAGAAATAAGTGTGAAACACTGACTCCGAGCCTGGCACATGACAAGCACTCAGCAAAGCTTTTGGTTATGGTTAAAGCTTATGATTATGGTTACAGCAGGTGCAGGACACACACCCATCCGTGTCCTTGTGGGTTCCAGACTGCCAGACCCCAAGATCATCCCTATCATTCAGGGAGGGGTTGCACATATGCTGTGGGTTAATCTTTGCATGAGAAAACTTAGTCTGGATGATTCAGAAAACTGCCTGGACTACTGGAGGAATAGGGTTGTCTACAAAACCAGGCCTCTTAGCCTTCTTTGGTCTGGACCCCAGCCTCCCGGCACTGGAACCCAGCTGCTAGTAGGGAGGAGGAGCAGCGTCCACGCTGATGGCCTTGAGGGAACAGGGCTGCCTGTTGGCGCCATCTAGTGGCCATGTGAGCAAGCGTCCTGCCACCTAGCCTCAGAGGCCTGACAATTCAACTCCATGGGCAGTGTGGCTGTAGGGGATCACATTCCTTGTGACGCCACAATCACAAGCAGGTTTGTAATGAGCTGGGATCCTGAGAGACAGGATTCTGATCCATGCGGATGCACACATTTCTCCAGAAACATCCACCAGCCAAAGAGCTGAGCGAGGGAGATGCCTTTTGCCTGGAGACCAGGGACATCAGCTGCCCTTTTCTTTAACTTATACTGCAAGGGACAGAAGGAAATTGAGATCCTTTACTAGGTACAAACGTGAAAAAAGGAATTGTTTTCCTAGGAAAGACACCAAAGGCTGCTGCTTGGTAACAGAGAAAAAAGGCAAAATCCAAAGACACATGAAGTTTGTTAAAAAAAATAATAATAATAAAAATAAATAAATAAATCACTGCCCTCACTGTGCAAGGTTTGTGAGCAGCTCTAACTGCACGCCCTTCCTGCAGATGGAGCCATCAGGGTCATGGTGAGAGCAGACATTTCTGGGGCCTGACGTCCAAGCCCCTTCCCTGGTTTAAGAAATCCCCACTTCGGTGCATCACCCCAAAGCCCACGTCTACTCCTCATCTCAAGACTCTCCCCAACCTGGGACTCATGGAAGACTTGGTCATGTCTTCCCACTCCTTTCCTCTCAACTCCGGCTGCCACCAGGGCTCAGAGTCCACTCCTAAGCTAGTCACAGAAGAGCAAGCAGAGGGTGGCGTCCCAGCTCTTTCACACTTGTGCTCAGAGCAGACACGAGTTACTGCCACTCCCATTGGCCAGAATTAGTCACATGGCTCTGACCTAGCTGCAAGGGAGGCTGGGAATGATATCTTCCTCGGAACCCAAAAACAAAAAATGAAAGAAGATTTGGAGAAAATGTAACACTATCTCTGCTATTCCAAACATTCTTCCTTCTTTTTTTGAAAGTCAGAGTTACAGTGAGAGAGGCAGAGAGATGAGAGAGGTCTTTCATCTGCCGGTTCACTCCCCAAATGGCTACAAAGACCCGGGCTGGGCCAGGAGCTTCCTCTGGGTCTCCCATGTGGGTGCAGAGGCCCAAGGACTTGGGCCATCCTCTGCTGCTTTCCCAGGCTCATTTACAGAGAGCTGGTTTGGAAGTCCAGTAGCCGGGACTTGAACTGGCACCCAGATGGGATGTTAGCACTGCAGATGGCGGCTTAGCCCATTGGACAACACAGCTGGCCGCTTCTCTACCTCCCCCTCTTTTTTTAATAAAAGGCAGTCATTGGAGATACGTGTATACTCCCTCGTGGAGAATATTCTGTTAACAAATTAAGGGCCCCTGAAAAGTGTCCC